TAATGAAATTCTTGTGATGGTTTATGAAATCTTTAATTCTAAGCAAGTGGTAACAGATCTTGAAGAAGATAATGTACCTCCAACACCTCTAGTAAATTTGTCAGAAGCAATAAATATGCTGAATACACTCATTCAATTTTAAGAACAAAGAAAAAATAATAATAAATTCAAACTGGAATAATTAGATATACTACGCAAAAAAGTGTATCAGTTTGAAAAATTGAAGAATGCATCAAAAAAACAAACTGATCTCTTTGGCTATTTTGGTAACCAAGATTCGCAAAATTTATTTGAGGTGAGTTGATTTTGTACTAATATAGTATAGTCATATTCCTCTATATATATCTCATTAGGACTATAGATAAATTTGTATTTAGAGATTTATGGAGATTAAAAAAGTACTTGCACTTAGGGAGTAAGACTGCATATAAATACTGTTCACTATACTTATTGTTACTGTTAAAATTTCATAGTAACCACGATATCTATAAAAATATTTCGAAATATTAAAGAGGCTAATAAATCTGCATTCAAGTTATGGACAAAAGTAATAAATATAAACTGCATTATTTAATAAATCTGGCTGGGCTTTTGGTAGTTATAGATATAAAGTTACAGAATTTATAATTTGTAATCATTGGTTTAATAAATATAAACCAACAATTATTTTTTTATTATGCTTAAACTATTCTGTTTTAACAGATTATATTATGGCTAAAAAAAAAAAAAAAAACTATTGCTTTGTATAAATTTGGTTTGGGCTATTTTTTTTAAAAAATAAATTTGTACAAGAATACTACTGTTATACTTCGAGATCAAGCTTTATCGATTCTAAATCAATATAAATTATAATAGAATTCTCAAATCATAGTTTAATGTTAATTAGTAAGTTATAATTGAAATTATAATTTTTACTAAAAATCATTATAAGTCTTATATTTGTTTTTTAAATCAAGCTTTTTGAATATCATTGATTACAAAGTCCAATCAAATTAAGATTAGTGTTTA